CGTTCGTCTTAACGCGGAAGACTCATTTTCTGGTAAGAACCTTACTCCCCTTGGCTTCCTTCAGTGGGATAAGATCCCAGGTGCCATGCTTTTCCAGAGCCGCTAACTCTTGGTCCATGGCTTCGCGCCATTTTTCCCTGTGAGGACTTGTCAAAGCTTGGCGAACTGCTTTCGGCTCCAGAATTTTACTGCTGCTTGGCTATACTGCGACTGCAAGTGCCAAAACTTGTAAACCAGTTTCTGTAAAGCGGGGACGATTTGAGTTGACACCGGAGAAATTGTGTTCTGATCCCTGTTCCCCCCCAACTTCTTCAGGTGTTACTCGGATCGCTGCTTCGGAGACAACGGGCATCGGTTGCTGTTGGTGGTCACGTTCGTAATCGAGCTCAACATCGCGAACATCTTGAGGGTCGGCGTCAACAAGTGGAATAAGCTCGGCAGTTCTAGCTGACGTGGTTGGTACGGGGACGTCTGTGGCAGCTTCGGAAGATTCAGCGACAGATTCGTCCTGTACATCTACTTCGGCCTCATCGGTGGCAAAAGCACGCGAGCCCTCGAACAGCCTGGCAGAATTGGCAGCAGCTGCCTAGTGAGCACGAAAAACAGGTAAGGTGAGGCGTTCGTAGAAAAGACAATCACGTGCTGCTACGATTTGACTCGTGCCAAGATCCATAATTTTCCACGCGTAAAATTGCGTCTCGATGCCAAGATGTACTCCCCACTTAGCGCGTTCATAAAATTTCCCCAGTGCTGCTGTCGGAGGTCGATATTGGACGATGCACCCAAAAACTCTTAAAAGTTTTGTGTTGCCAACTGTTTTTGTCCACTGCAGGTGTGGTGAAGAAAATTCCGGAAGAGAAGTTGTCGACAGCAAGTTGTGCAGAAGAACTGCATGGTCCAAAGCGTAAGTCCAAAAATGTGGTGGCAATGCTACCTGAGTCAGCAAGACTCGCATCTTCTCTTGTAGAGTCCTGTTCATCCTTTCTGCTACCCCCATCTGTTGGTGTTGATGTGGCAGGGACAACCTGCGCTTGATGCCGAGGGTTTGCAGGTACTCTGTGAAAGGTGTGCTCGTATACCCCCCTGCGCCGTCACTCTGAAATTCTTGAAGCTTTTCCTTCGATTCTCGTTCAACCACCGCAAGCCACGCGACGAAGATTGAGTGAGCCATGTGTCGAGCTGGTATGTTGACGCTCCAAACGTATCGAGTAGAAGCTTTGATAAACGAGATCATATATAACTCCCCCTTAGGTCCTGCTTCAGGTAGGTTGAGAATATCGCTGTATGCTTTATGCATAAGTGTGTAACGAGATGATCCAGGAAAGTGACTTGGAAAGGGTTCGTGAGGAAGATTAGCGGTTGCGCATGTTGTGCAGACTGCTGATCGCGAAGACGGCTTCATCTCCGTTCCATCCGGTAAGAGTACACTGTTTTTGTCAAGAACTGAAGCTCGGATAGTATGGTTAAGTATTCCCGGTGAAGGATGTCCAAACCGTTGATGTCAAATATCTTATGTTGTTTTGTGTCCTGTTGATCGCAGATAAAAATCGGCGTTAGTATAAAATGAAGAAATGATGAAAGGAGAAAACGCTGGTGATTCGTCGAGTTGGCCAGGAACGAAGCGAGTAAGAGGAAACTTCGTGGTTGTAATTTCCACATCAAGAACTTCTTCCGGTTGAAGAACTAATTCCCCTTCTTCAATTTTTGTTTCTGTTGAATTTGCTGCAAGTTGACCAACGAGAACCCCTGTTTCTGCTTCAACGCTACCCTGCTGCTCTGCTTCCTCTGCTTCACTACAGCTGCTGGGTCCCCAAGGTTCTGTAGGTTTGTTTTCAAGTTGTTGTAAAGTGTCATAGCAATTCCTCCATGCTGATGTATCTTCCTCGGCTGTGTTTGTTGGCCAGGAATCGAGAGCCGTTATAACCGCTGCTAGTGTACGGGATCCTGTTGGAATTGCAGTTGCACGGAAGTCGATGTCAACGTTCTGAAAATCAGTTTCTTCAGGATTTTGCCAAAGTCCAAGAGATAACACTTTCTCAGAAGATCCAGAAGTTCCTTGCGACTCGAATTGAAGAACGCAGACCCCATACTGAGTGGCGGCTCTCCCGATATAAGTATTTGTACCATTCTGAAAAAGTTCCTGGTCCATTGTCTCACATGCCTTGTGTTCTGATCTTATGTCGCAGGAGTTGAGCCGTTGAAAGAAGATTAAAGCCAAGTCCAGCGATGATAAGGACATTTGTAACGTGTAAGGAAAAACCTGTGTCCACGGAATCCAACATGACGCTGCCCATTGATCTTGCCATTATGGTTTGTCCATTTGCAACTGTGACAAGTACTGGACGTCGAAGCGGACGCTGATGAGTAATGAAGAGCGTCTCGGCAGAGCACATGTCTTGTCCACAGCAACTGTCAAGATACCAAGTGTTTGGTCATGCAATAACCCGAGTAAGGTTAGCATATACTTGAGGTAAAATCATGTTCTCAGGTTGCTCGATGAAGTTTTCGTCATCTTCATTATCGAAATCTGAGTCTGTTGCATGAACTGTTGTAACACAGCTGAAAACTTGTTTCCCTGATGTTGCAGGAGTTGTTGTTGGTGGATTCTGCTTCACGGGTTGCTTGAACTGCTGCGACTGCCGTTGCCCCCCTCTTTTCTTATCAGCTTGAAGCATGTTGCAAAATTTTATACTGTGTCCATCCTTTTTGCAGTAGTGACAGAAGAACTTGTTGACACGTTTCGTGGGCGTTGAATAAAAACTGATGTTGACTGGTCCCTTTTTGTTACGCGCTGTCTGCAGGTCAAGATCTTGCTGCTCTGCCTGAAGGATGGAGCAGATTTTTGCTTCCGAAAGATTTGGTTGAAGACGAAGAAGAGATCGACACTGCCGCCATTCTGCTCCAAGACCGGCAAGAAGGACTGTTACAAACATGTCCTTTGTGAAGTATCCGCCGCACTTTTCCAACTGGTCACGAAGTGTTCGAGCCCTGTTGATATAACCCGAAACGTTCTCGTTGCCCTGCATCTGTACAGTTGTCAGTTGTGAGAGAATTTTACTCACGGAATTTGTATCATGTGCCATGTATAATCCCTTCAAATGCTTCCATGCAGATTCTGCTGGAGTCAAGCTGGTGTGAAGAGAGCGCCTACCATGCTGCTCTTTCAGCGACAAATTGCGGATAAGGATGGTGTAAGCGCTGAGTGAATCATGAAGAAAACTCTGTTGTTCCATCTGTGTCCCCGTAACAGGATACGAATAATCGCCACTGAAGAACGGCCATAATCCAGAAGATTTCGTGAGGACCTCGAATTCGAAACTCCAAGCGTAAAAGTCAGCGCCATTAAAAGTTATAGTTGTCTTGATCTGTGTATTGCTTAAAAGGTTCGGTGCCTGAAAGACAGGGCCAATGAAAGAAGTCTGCTGCTGTGGAAACTGCTGTTGCGGTTGCTATTGTTGCTGTTGATGTTGCTGTTGTTTCTGAAACTGTTGTTGCGCTTGCTGCTGTTGTTGAAGAAATTGAAATTGTTGATGTTGAGCAGGTGTAAACGCAAACGAAGAACTGGAGCTTGGAGCGGCTGCAGCTCTTGCATAGCTGGAACCATCAATGCTCATACCACTGAAAGTCGCTGTTACTGATGCTACTTCTTGTTGCTGTGATGTTGCAGGTGCAGAGGACGAAGTCCCCGGTGGATGCACAGTAGGCAAACCTTGCTGCTGTTGCGGCATCCCAATTGAAGAATAAGCAGGTGGAAAATTTCCAGCTGCAGAGTCACCTGCTTGACCAGTAAAGACTATAGGATTTGTAATACCCGTGGGTCCAGTTGTTGAAGAAGCAGACGTTGGAGATGGTGATGGTCCAGTCATTTGTAAAATTGACGATAGTTGAATTGACGATAGTCTTAATCCCAGATAGCTCTCATACCATGAAAGAATTTGAAATATGGTGTAGGAGACTAAGTATAGAATCTGCAGACACAAGTACTTGAAGTAGAAAGTAATACTGGAAGTACCTCCAGTAACAGCCAGTATTAACAAGTTGTAACACCAGAGTCAGTGTTACAGCCTTGCGATACTTCAAGACTTAATCAAGGATCTTTGCTGGAATGGTGGACTAGTAAGACAGCGGAAGTCTTAGAACTTGTTAAGTGTTGACCAGAATTTACTGAAGAACAAGTTAACAATTGAAGTTGTACAAGCTACTTTTATATCTGCTATAAGTACCTATTCGGTGATGTACCTGTTCAAGCTATTTGCGCTATGCGCTCTAACCACTACTGAAAAGAGCGCGACTGTTCGCGTGACTGAAACGGCTTGCTGATGCAATCATCCAGACGAGCGCTATTTGCTGACGTCATTCTACGGATGCTAACTATAGTGTAACTCGACAATATCTATCGAGACTACTTACAGAGATGCTTCAGTACGATTTTATAACAACAGGCGCGAAGTGGCGGGGCTGGCGCGAAATGGCAGGGCCGGCGCGGAGTGGCGGGGCTGGCGCGGTCTGGCGGGGCCGCCTCAGGCGCAGAAGGCGCGGACGGCTCAGGCGGCGCGGACGGGGCTTGGGCCAGGGCACGGGCGCGGCACGGCTAGGGCTAGGGCGCGGGTGCGGCTAGGACTAGGGCTAGGGCTAGGGGCGGAAGAGTAAGCGGGGAGGGGGACCTAACCTAGCGTTATACCATCTCAGAATAACGCAATGACTAGAAAGAGGCATACGGGGAGGTTTTGTGTTATGGTGTTGTACTCCCTAAGAGCATGCACCTATCTAGCCTATAAACGTATACAAATATATGTTGACAGATACCTCTATGTTCAAGATATTGTTTGGGAGCAGCGATACCCCATTTGAGTAACGAGATACTATCTTTTAACACCACTTTGTATGTTTTTAATTAAAATAGCAGTAGTTTTCAACCGAGCATTACGATGAGACTACGGCGGATCTGTCAACAAATGCCTGCTTCAGTTTCCCCAAGCTGAGAATACACCGCACCTCCCAGCAGCAGGGTGTGTTCTTGGTTCTCACGCCTAACTGCTGCTTCCCTCTTCTTCGCGTCGCCAAGCTGTAAACACGCCATCGCTCCTCTCCGAATCGCCCTAGAGGGCTGCCTTTTTCGTCGCTAAGAGCCGGGCGGGTTGGCCCTTCGCCAACCGGTGGGCAGTCGCCACGTGACCGTGCGAAACGCCGTCGCCCGGACGAATGTGTCGCGCACATGTCGTTTCCAGGTTGGCGGGGGCGTTCAACCAGCCTGGTTATCGCAGATGCGTCGCTCGGCGCCAGTGCCCGCTGCGGACGATGACGCAGGCGGTGTGCGGCGGGGCGATGGGGAGCGGCGGAGCACATGGGTGGCGGCACGGTCAGAGTGTTACTCCGCCTCGCCATCCCTCCTTCCCCGCCCCCAACCCCAGGCGCTGTGCGTCGCGTGGGCAGGGAGGGCGAGGAGGCGAGAGAGACGGAAGCATTTAAAGACGGCGCTTTGCTCGTCTCGTGTCACCTCCTGCCCACGGCCGCACCCTCCACGCCGTCCTCACTTGCCGCACAGCCCTGCTGCTGCCACCGCCCAGAGTGCTCTCCGCCCAGAGTGCTCTCCGCCCAGCAGTGGCCCGGAGAGGCCGCGAGCGCGAGTGGTGTGGGCTTGACGGGAGCGGCAAGGGCGGGCGCGCAGAGAGCTGCACGCGAGAGAACGACCCGCGCCGCTGCTGCTGCTGCCGTGAGAGAGGGCGTCAGAAGAGAGCGAGGGAGCGGGCAGGTGGTGAGCGGGGAGGGCGCAAGTGAGGCGGCATGCTTGCAAGCATCGCAGGGGACATGGGGTGGAGGGAGAGCGAGGGGGCGGAGGGGGCGATGGCGGGGAGTGCGGGTGACGACATGGGCATGGGGCAGCTGGCGCTGGACGACGTGAAGCGCATGCTGTTCGAGGGGGAGGGGGATGAGGGGGATGAGGGGGAGGAGGGGGGGGAGGGGGAAGAGGGGGAGGAGGAAAGGAGAGGAAACGGGAGCAGCAGGAGTGGGCGGGAGGGGATGAACGGCGGTGAGGCAGCAGCGTTGGCTCTCACCGTGCCGGCCGAGGCCCTTGAGGCTCCTGAGGCACTTGAGGCGCCCGCTGCCGCTCACAGTGAAGGCTGCATGGGGATGCATATGGGTCGGGCTAATGCTGCTACTAACGCTGCTGCTAGCGCCGCTGCTAATGGTGGTAAAATCACCAGTGCGTGTGGTGATGGCCGTAGACCCTCCGTTGTCGCTGCCACTGCTGCTCCTTCCAATGCATTCACCGTTGCTGGAGCCACGAGTGATGCTGCTCCTGCTGTTGCTGCTGATGCTGCTGCCGTCACAGGCGCTGCCAGTGCTGCCAGGGAGGTCCCTGCTGTGCCCGAGGACACGACAGCAGCGGGGCCGGATGACTGGCTGCACGTGCTGCACGACGACGCCCACTGGGACCTGTTCCCCGCCTTCTCACTGCCGCCCCTCGCCCTCCCCCCCCTGCCTCTGCCTGCTGGCCCTTCCACGCACGCTCCTCCACCGCTCCCCACTGCTCACCAACCCCCCATGGCAGGGCAGTCGCACTGTGCTCTCCGTGCGCTCCCCCTTGCAGCAGCGGATCTCACGCAGATCGGCTCTTCAGGCGACCTGCACGCCGCCGTTGCGGCGCTGGCAGGCGCCCACAGCCCCGACGGCACGTACAGCCCCGACGGTGCTGCGTGCGGGTCGGGCATCTGGCATGCCCTGGGGGGCCGCTTGGGGTCAGGCGTGGGCAGTGATGGCAGTGGTGGCAGTGGTGGCGCGGGGGGCATGGGGGGCAGCAGTGGGACCAGGACTGCGTTGGCAGATGGCAGTGGCAGTGGCGGTGGGCATGGGAGAGGGGAAGGCGGGGGTGATGCAGACGGGATGGTGGGTGGCAGGGAGGGGGCAGTGGCGTTGATGGAGAGGGAAGGGGCAGATGCAGCAGCAACAGTGGCAGGGGGGCCAGCAGAGGCAGCGACTGGGGGAGTTAAGATGGGGGAAGGCGTGGAGGGTGGTGAGTGGTGGGAGGGGGAGTGGCATCTGGGCGAGAGTGTGGTGGAGGGGCCGTTTGCTGCAGCCCTCGTGACTTGCATCAACTGCTCCTCCCTGCTGCAGGTCTGCTCCTCCCTGCTGCAGGTCTGCTCCTCCCTGCTGCAGGTCTGCTCCTCCCTGCTGCAGGTCTGCTCCTCCCTGCTGCAGGTCTGATCCTGCTCTTGTGCTTCCTGCCATCCTCGTTCACAGCCCTCCGTGCTGCACGACTCGTGCCATCGCGCCTATGCCTTGGTGTTCTCGTTTAGCGTTCTTCCTTTCGTGCCCCATCCGCGTTTAGCGTTCTTCCTTTCTTGCCCCATCCTCGTCTAGCGTTCTTCCTTTCGTGCCCCATCCTCTCACCCTCATGCCCCCATCGTCTCATCACTTGTCTCACCATCCCCTTGTCCACGTCTCTCTCCGCCCCATCAGGTCCACGTGCCCGCGGCCCTGCCTACTGCTGCCATCTGCACTCTGTTCTGTGGCCACTGCTCTGCCCTGCTCGCCCTGCCGCCATCCGCCCGCGCTTCCACTGCCAATGCTACCACCACCGCCACTGCCACTGCCTCCGTGTCGCTCGCACTTCCTCACCACACGGGACAGCAATTGGAAGCTACCAATGCTGGCTGTGGCACGAGGGGGGGCGACAGGGGCATGCGCGGCGCTGACGTGGCTCCCGGGTTGCTCCCTCCTGCCGCTGGCGCCGCCCTGCGCGCCATCTGTGGGTTGCGCAGAATGTCTGAGGACCCTCGTGAGCGCAGAATGTCTGAGGACCCTCATGAGCGCAGAATGTCTGAGGACCCTCGTGAGCGCAGAATGTCTGAGGACCCTCGTGAGCGCAGAATGTCTGAGGACCCTCGTGAGCGCAGAATGTCTGAGGACCCTTGTGAGCGCAGAATGTCTGAGGACCCTCGTGAGCGCAGAATGTCTGAGGACCCTCGTGAGCGCAGTGCGTGCGACGGCAGCCCCACAAGCGACAGCACCGGCCTCGCACCCACACCAAGCCGCGTGCTGCCAGCGCTGCACAGAGGGCCCGCCGTGCCTGGGGGGGGCGCGATGCGAGGCTCCTGGGCCGTCGCTGGAGAGATGCGGCAGCAGCGCATGGGCCATGAGGTATCTGGCTTGAGCATGGGCCCTGAGGTATGTGGCTTGAGCATGGGCCATGAGGTATGTGGCTTGAGCATGGGCCATGAGGTATGTGGCTTGAGCATGGGCCATGAGGTACGTGGCTTGAGCATGGGCCATGAGGTATGTGGCTTGAGCATGGGCCATGAGGTATGTGGCTTGAGCATGGGCCATGAGGTATGTGGGTTAAGCATGGGCCATGAGGTATGTGGCTTGAGCATGGGCCATGAGGTACGTGGCTTAAGCATGGGCCTAGGGGTATGTGGTTGTGCCTCCTCCTTACTCCTCCTCCTCCTCCTCCTCCTCCTCCTCCTCCTCTTCCTCCTCCTCCTCCTCCTCCTCCTCCTCCTCCTCCTCCTCCTCCTCCTCCTCCTCCTCCTCCTCCTCCTCCTCCTCCTCCTCCTCCTCCTCCTCCTCCTCCTCCTCCTCCTCCTCCTCCTCCTCCTCCTCCTCCTCCTCCTCCTTTCTCTCCCCCACCCTCAGTTCCCGTTCCTGCTCCCCCTTTGTGTACCTTCCCTCCCCCCGGCTCCCTTTCCCTTTACCTCTTGCTCTCCTCCCTCCCCTTCCGACTTCCCCTCGCAGGCACAGTTTCCGTGCGTGCAGGTTACCCCCTGTTACCCCCTCCGTGCGTCTGCTCTGGGCGAGGGTGTCACGGCTGGGCCCACCACGCTCGGCGCCACTTCTGCTGAGGCTGCTGCTGCCACTGATGGCGCTGGCAGCGGTGCTGCAAGTGGCGCAGAGAGCAGGAGAGCGCAGCGGGCGTTGAGAAAGCGGAAGCTTGCCTTGTCTCTCACAGGTGCTTAGGATCCCTGGGTGACTATTTCCCTGGGTGACTATTTTCCGGTACCTTCTCAATTCCCATACCGCTCCTCATTTTGCTGCTTCTGTCGCTTGCCCCATCTTCACCATCCCTCGGCAGCAGCACTGCTTCCACCTCTCACGCTTCCCTCCTTGCAATCCACCCGTCCTGCACCACATGGCAGGGTCCAGAGCAGCGGCAAGGGAGGGGTCCGAAGAGGCAGGAGATGTGAGTGGGGAGGAGGAGAGCTGCAAAGGAGGGAAGCAGAGGGGTGGCAAGGCAAGCAGCAAAGCGGCAGGGAGAGGCGGCATGGCCCCTGTGAAGAGGCATCGCAAGGCGTCTACCTACAACCTCTTCATCCGGTCAGTGCTGGTCGCCAGGCGAGTGCTGGTTATAAGGTGAAGCTGATTATCGATTGATCGTTTTTGTTTTGCGTCCGCTTCTCACTCCTCCGCATCCCGTTTGTGTGCCTTTCTCTCACCTCTCAACCCCCTTCCCTTTCCACCCTGTTCTGCGCCCCCCCCACCCCCCCCCCCCCTTCCCGCATCTCCCAACCCCTGCAGGGACGAGATGCTGCGCCTGCGCGCGGCCAACCCCGCCATGGACCACCGTGAGGCGTTCAAGGAGGCCGCGAAGCGGGTCAGTGAGGGCAGGCTTCTATAGGTGACTTTTGAAAGTCACCAAGCGGGTCAGTGAGGGCAGGCTTCTATGGCTCTTTCAATGCATGCCTCTAGGGATTTGCCGGCAATGAATGCCCGTCTTCTCACCGTTGTTTCTTCTTTCCGCCCTTTCTCATAGCACCCGCTCCTCCTGTGCATGGCCCGTGCATTCATCGCCCCCCTCACCTCCCCCCCATCCTTCCCCCTCTGTGTGTGCAGTGGGGCAGTGCAGCAGAGAACGTGCGTGGCTCGCACGCCCTGGCAGCAGCAGCCAAGGCCAGGGCGCTGCTGCTCTACCCACCCTTGCGCGCCCTGCACACTCTCTGCAGCCCGCCCCCTCCCGTTGCTTCTGCTCTGCCTGCAGCACGCGTGGGAGCGCAGGAGGCAGTGGGGATGGTGGAGCATCTGCGTGCGTGTGACGGGTGGCAGGGGGGGCGTGAGGGGGGTGGGGCGCACAGGCAGTGTGGGAGTGAGGGGCTGCTGGGGGGGTTGCGTGGTGGTGGCAGTGAGGGGCGGTGGGTGGTGGAGGCGGAGGGGAGGGCTGCACAGGGAGTGGTTGAGGAGCTGCCGTCAGAACCTGAGAGGGTGGGGGCAGGCTGCTGGCACAGTGGGTGTGGCGTGGGAAGGGGGCCACGCGATGATGAGGGGGAGGGGGGCTGCCGTGCTGATGGAGTGGGATATGCGCCGCTGGAGATGGGCAGGCAGGAAGGCTCTCTCACCAACCAGCAGAACCAGATGCAAGGTGGCAGGCCTGGATGCCACATGGAGCAGAGGCACGAGCAGGAGAGGGATGTGCTGCTTCCCTTGGCAGGTGAGCCAGCAGCAGCACATCCCTTGGAGCACTACCTGTGGGAGGCAGAGGGTTGTGAGCAGCAGCGGCAGCATCAGCAGCAGCAGCAGCAGCCGCCGCCGCGGGCCCAGCTGCTGCACAGTGATGCATACAGACGGCTGGCAGCAGGGATCAGCAACAAGCTCAAGTCGTCTTAGTTGCTGGAAGTGATGAAGTTCAGACGAATTCCTATGAAGTAGGATCAGAATCAAGAATGCCAAATCCATTATTGATCCCGTTGCCCGGTCTGTTACGCCATCATCTGAAACGAGGGCAGCCACCTCAACATCGCACAGGCGCATCTGATTGGCTGCCCCTACCAACACATTTTGGACAGCCGAAAACGAGAGCTAAGCCAACGCCTCATGACAAAAGTGTGCCGAGTCCCGACGCGCGACGTGCAGCGAAATGGAACTGTATGCGACGGACACAAAAACGCGACTTCTGCTGACTTCGAAACTGCATTCAATGTTAAAAGACTAGTTAGGAAGAAAGGGCGGCCATGAAATGGCGTGAGGGTTTAGGAGCTAGGAGCTAGGAGAGAAAGTTTGACGAAAGAGAAGAGGGAGAACTATGTTGGAAATACCTCGAAAACTTAAGCGTTTCTGAAGTGTAACACTACACTCGAGGAAAGTTGTATCGGGTACGCGAGTCAACAGAGGTTACACGAGGAGGTTGGACGAAAGAATACGAATGGGCAAAGAGACTCGAAGGGTCGCAAGCGGAGGTTGCGATTGACCGTTGCGACTGCAAGGATGGTAACCGAACAGACAATCGAGTCGCTGTGCGACTCGATAACTGTTTCTTCAACTGTATTCTACAACTGCTTCATTTCCTATTTTCTATATATTGATGTATGCTTGTTTCTTTTGATCAATCACTTGCTCTCACATACTAGTGCAAGGGTTCAACTACTCAACACTTCCGCTGCACTACTCAAACATCTTGTACAAGTGGGACTTAGTCTCTAAAAAGATCCTAAGGGCTTTTCTCAGCCCAACATGGTATGAGAGCTGGTCAGATACCAAACTCCCGTCAACAACATCCTATCTACAGTCAGCATATCAAAAGCTTCATCGATTACAAGAAACGGACAACAAGGGCAAGAATTCTTCTACGGGCTCACCCAGCGCCCAAGCCACTCAACCCGGCACTTCTGGACTTCACACCTCTGGACTGCAAACCGAGACCGGCGCTGCTCAAGAAACAACAAGATGAGTACCAGAAATAGTGACCCCTTCACCCTCTTCAGGTGTGGACCCGAACCTTATGGAAAGGTTCTATAGCTTCATGTCGCACTTCGACCAGCAGCAACAGACAAGGACACCTGCGCATTCAACACGAAGGAACAAAGGAAATATAGGGTAAGCACCGATGAGCCTCGACAACTCATCATTCGGGCAGCACAACCAGGCGCCTACCTTTGCGCCTTATCACTCTTCACCAGGGACGTTCGAGTTCATGCCGCCCCGTGCTCAACCGACAGCAGCTGCATCACAACAAACACGAAACGAGATATTGAGTCTCCAGGCGCAGTTTTCACATGTGATCAAACTGCAGACATCTTCACCGTTCAACGGTCACGACTTCTTTACCTGGAGCTTTGAGTTCGAGCTGCTGATGGAGGCCGCGCATCTCTTGGGATACTTCAACGGGTCCCTGCCATTTCCAAGCAATGGCACTGCAGAAGAGAAGGAAATCTTCACCTATCAGTCGCTACTGGCGTACACAGTTCTCCTGCGAAACCAATTACCACAAGAGCAACAGAGCATCAGAACGTATCGGAGCTACGGAAACTCCGCAGAGCTTGCCTGGCATCATCTGAAATGTCTCTATTAAGCAAACGACAGTGTGACACAAAGCAGACTCATGCAGCAGTTGACAACAATACAAATGAAAACCGGGGAAAAGGCGATGCAGTATGTCACAGGATCGAATGTGTCGAGGAAAGATTGCACTATCGATCAGTACAAGGCGCTTTTATACTTCCAGAGTACATCAGGTAACCAGGTTTATCTTATCCTAGGGGAATAGACCCTTCTAGAAGATAGAATCACCCTGCGTATAGCCACGCGAGGCTATTGGCTTTAAGGGATTACAGCAGGATTACGCTAGATAGAGCGCACCAGTACATCCCAAGCCTGGTCGGTGATATAATCATAATAGCAGGATAAACCAAAGGTTAATGGAAAAGGAAGAATAGGAAACCAAAGGAGATGGAATAAAAGAGAAATGAAAAAGGAAGGAAATAAGAAAAGGCCAAGTGGTGTAACGGGGTCGTACTCTCACACTTCCCCCCCTCAAAGCTGGGTGGTAGAAGTAACACCTTGCTTGACAAGGTAGTCATGCAGAGAACGACGGGCGTTACCCATGTCGGACTCAGGTACCCAGCTGTCCTCAGAAGGAGCCATAACCCTTCCAACGAATAAGAAGCTCCACGGTGCCATTCCGACGACGGCGGTGTGCGAGCACGGACTCGACCTCGTACTCGGGTTCATTCTGGACGAGGACGGGCGGTGGTGGCGGCGGTTGGCGTCCGACGAAAATCGTGTTCGGGTCCCGATAGGGCTTCAGAAGTTGGACGTGGAAGGCGTTGTGAATCTTCCAGGTAGCTGGCAGGCGTAAGCGGAAGGTAACAGGAGTGACCTGTGCTTCAACGAGAAAAGGCCTGCAGAAGCGAGGTCGAAGTTTAGATGGGAGATGGCTGATGTCCAGGTTGCGGGTGTCAAGAAGCACCTGGTCTCCCACCGTGATGGTGTGATTGTTGCGATGGCGATCGGCTTGGCGCTTCTGTTGATGTTGAATATCGAGTAGGCGCTTGTGGGTCCGATCCCAAAGCTGATGCATGGTTGTGATGAAATCATGTGCTGGTTGGACTGTAGCGGATGCTGTCGGTTTTTGGGGTGTGAGTGGGTGGCGTCCGTAGCAAAGGAAGAACGGCGTCTGTCCAGTAGCGGCATGTGTAGCATTGTTGTAAGCAAACTCTAGTACGGGCAGGTGCAAGTCCCATTTGGAGATCTCGTCCTTGCAGGCTGCTCGGAGGAGTTGCTCAACAATTTGGTTGAGGCGCTCGGTCTGTCCGTCTGTCTGCGGATGGTAAGCAGATGACATGGCGAGTTTGGTCCCGAGGAGAGACATAAGTTCCTTCCAAAACTTGCTGGTGAACTTCGGGTCTCGGTCGGAGATGAGTGTGGTTGGAATGCCATGCTGTGAGATGATGTATCGAACGAAGAGTTGTGCTGTTTCTTCGGTGCGTGCTGTCGTGTGTGTCGGGATGAAGTGTCCCATTTTGGAGAACTTGTCGATGACGACAAGGATTGCATCATGACCGCTGGTGGTCGGCGGTAACCCGGTGATGAAATCCAGGCTAACCACTTGCCATGGTTGTTCTGGGACAGGAAGAGGCTGCAGTAGTCCCGCCTTTTTCTGCTTGCTGCTCTTCATCCGCTGACATGTATCACACGAGGTGACAAATTTCTGGACATCTTCTGCTAAGTGGGGCCAGTAGTAGTGCTTTGCGATACCGGTCAGCGTCTTGTTGCTACCGAAGTGTCCGGCGTAGAGGACGTCGTGGTATTCTTCGAGTAGTAACTGACGCAAAGGAGGGTAATTGGGTACCCAGATTTTCGTTGATCCTTTCCGGTACGCGATGTCACTGTCCCACTGTAGCAGATGTCGCTTTTCTGCCAAGGGAATTTCGGGGTCGGTGGCGTACCCGTGTGTGAAGAGTCCCTTGAGTAGTGGATTCATCCCTTCAATCTGAATAGCAGCAACGTGTGCAGGCCGGCTGAGAGCGTCTGCTTTGTTCTTGTGATCGGGCTTGTACACGATGTCGTAGTGGAAGTGTGTCTCGAGGAAGTCGATCCACCGGACCTGCCGCCTGGAAAGGTTGGGTTGTGTCTTCAAGTATTTCAGGCTGCAGTGGTCAGTGTAGACGGTTGTTCTTCGTCCTTCGAGATAACATCTCCACGCTTTGAAGGCGATGATGATAGCCAGGGCCTCCTTGTCGTGTATCGGTTAGTTTAGTTCTGCCCCGTGCAGTTTCTTACTTAGGTAAGCGATTGGTTGCAGTCCATTCCCTTGATCTTGCATCAAGACTGCTCCCACTGCTTGGTCACTGGCGTCAGCTTCGATGACGTAGTCGCGTTCGGGATCTGGCAAGATGAGTACTGGTGCGGACGTAAGTGCTTGCTTCAGCTGCTCCACAGCTTCCTGGAGCTTCGGCTCCCATTTGTAGGGTGTGTTCTTCTTCAGCAGATTCGTGAGTGGTGCTGCAATTTTTGCATACTGTGGCACGAACCTGTTGTAGTAATTAGCGAAGCCTAGGAACTGCTGCAAATCCTTCAGGTTGTCGGGTGTCTTCCACGTGCGTACGGCCTCGATTTTCTTGGGGTCGACGTGAACTCCTTGAGCGCTCACCATGTGTCCTAGGAACTGGACCTTCTCAAGGGCGAATTCGCTCTTGGACAGTTTGACGTAGAATCGTTCTCGTCGAAGAATTTCGAAGACGCGTCGCAGGTGTTCGACATGCTGCTTCATGTTGCGCGAGTAGATGAGTATGTCGTCCAGGTACACCACCACGCACTCGTCCAAAAGTGGTCGTAGAATGTGGTTCATTTCGGCTTGGAACGTTGCCGGTGCGTTGGTGAGTCCGAATGGCATTACCAAATACTCGTACGATCCATACCGAGTTCGGAAAGAAGTTTTGTGGATAGAGTTGTCCGCCATGCGAATCTGCCAGTATCCGGACCGCAGATCCAGTTTGGAAAATACCGTAGCTCCCCGAAGCTGGTCAAGCAGGTCATCGATTCGCGGTATCGGATATTTATTCTTGATGGTCTGCTTGTTAAGAGCTCGGTAGTCGATGCACATACACAGGCTCCCATCCGGTTTCGGTGTGAAGAGTACTGGGGCACCGTACGGCGAAGTGGATGGTCGGATGAGTCCTTTGGCTAGGAGATACTCGATTTGTTTTTTCATGTCGGTCAGCTCCGTAGAGCTGAGCCGATATGGTGCTCGGAAGGTCGGCTTCGAACCCGGTTCCTCCACGATCTCGTGTTGATGCGTTCGGTTTGGCGGTAGCTCATTCGGAGGATCCTCCGGAAGAATATCTTGGAACTCCTTCAATAATTCCTTGATCTTTCCTGGAGGTTCCGAGGTTCTCTCCCTGTCGTTTTCCGCCTCTGTTGCTATTGCCAGGAACCCTGTGTCGGTTCGCTTCACGTCCTTCTCGAATCGTGCGAGTGTCTCCACTAGGATACCTCCTGTATCGTCCCAGTTGGGTAGCTGTACTCTCCGTCCATTGTTGTAGATGCTTGCGGTGCGGTTCACCCAGTTGATCTCGGGGTTGAATCTTTTTAGGAAGTCTCGCCCGAAGATCAGGTCAAGCCCTTTGATGTTGGTGATGGGAAGTGCAGGTCTCCAGCGCAGTGGTCCAATTTGTAGGTGTAGCACTGCTTCACCGTGTACTGGTAACTTGCTGCCGTCCACCATCGTTGCAGAGAATCCTGAAGGCTTGTACTCTTCCCGAAGTCGGTCGATTACTGTCTTGTCGCAGACGGTGTGTGATGCTCCGCTGTCCACGAGTGCTTGGAGGCGTCGTCCTTTGCAGATGACCTCGAGCACGAGGGGCAGTCGTTGCTCGGAGTACCCAAAGATAGTTTCATTG